ATCAGAAATGTTTCTCAAGCAGCAAATCAGCATATTAGAATGATTTCTGAAGATCATGTGACACTGAAGACTGAAGTAATGATGCTGAAAATACAGCTGCGCATCACAGAAATAAATTAGAGTTTAGCAGATATTAACACAGAAAACAGCTGTTTGAAATTCTAATAATATTTCACAAATTTTACTGCATTATTGCTCAAATAAATGCAGCTCTGATGAGCAGAAGAGACTTCATTAAAAACATTTAAAATCATAAAGTTTCCAACCAAAGTACTGTACATGAGGAACAAAGAGAGCGGTGGATGTACCAGATAGGGTTTGGGAGTGTTTCCTGAGGTGCTGGTCTGCCAGAGACTGAGCGCTCCGTCCGCAACCACGATCCCAAACTACAACACACACACACACGAGCTGGTTTACACACACTACAGTCACACACAGCGCTCTCACACTAGTGATTCCTGACGATCCTGACGCACCTTATTGCCCTGATAACTGAAGCTATTTAATGCCATGTCAGCATCTTAGGCTATTTTCATGGCAAAAACAATTTAAAAAATACAAGTATAACAAACAAACGAGTTATATTACACAAGATTTTTTTACATTAACATATGTTACCCTGGAGCACAAAACCAGTCTTAAGTGTCAATTTTTCAAAATTAGGAAATTTACAATTTTGTGCTGCAGGGACACAAATGATAAAAATTCTAAAACTTTTTCTGGCAAAATTATACTAAATAACTCTTTAAGTGAGTTCGTATGTTAGCAGATTCATATGTAAAATAATGTGATCATCAAGCATTATATAGCATATAATCCAATGGATTCCACCAGTGAGTAAAAAATAAAACAAGGTAATTGAAATGCTAGATATAAACTTCAGTGCTGGAAATGGGCTTCAATAGAATCCGATCCGGGGCGTAGTCTCTGACAAAAGCTTGCAACATGTACTGCGTTAAGCTAACTGAGACTTGTTATAGCACTTGCATATCATTGCTGTTTTGTTGGTTTTGATTGCTTCCGTTGTCCTCATTTGTAAGTCACTTTGGATAAAAGCATCTGCTAAATGACTAATAAAAAATTAAACCAGCCAAGGTGCCAGCACAAAAAAACACATTCAGCAAAATATTGTTTAATAATCAATGCTGACCAAAATTCCTCCATTTCAGGCCCCAGAGGAAAAAGAGCTTATAAATAATAGTTCATTTAATCATTAAATAAATTCGACCACTGATAATAAGCTTCCGTGCTTGTGTTTGATGCAGTCACTCACAGTAGGGCAGCGTGGGGTGTGACGTCATCCGCCTCACGTTGTTGATGTTGCGTTTGATGAGCTGCATGAACACACAGAAGAGCGTGAGCGAGTGTTAGCGTGAGCGGAGCATTAGCGGTCGAGTGTTGTTAGCGCTGCTCACCACGGCGGCTCCTCGGCCCGTCTGCAGGCCCCCCAGCCAGGGCATGCTGATGGGTGTCCCGGGGCTGCTGTGGGTGTAGGGTGTGCTGCCGTGAAGCGCGCTGAAGTCGTCCCGAGCGTGAACCACCAGGAAATCATCCGTCCTGACAAACAACACAATCACTAGGGATGGGGATCGCTTCAGATGTCCCGATTCAATTCGATTCTTGAATCGATTCTTGATTCGCAAGCTCTCGATTCGATTCAATTCTTGATTTGATTCTTGATTCGCAAGCTCTCGATTCGATTCTTCATTCGCAAGCTCTCGATTCGATTCGATTCTTGATTTGCAAGCTCTCGATTCGATTCGATTCTTGATTCGCAAGCTCGCGATTCGATTCGATTCTTGATTCGCAAGCTCTCGATTCGATTCGATTCTTGATTTGCAAGCTCTCGATTCGATTCGATTCTTGATTCACAAGCTCTCGATTCGATTCGATTCTTGATTCGCAAGCTCTCGATTCAATTCTTGATTTTTTTATTACATTCAGTGAATATAGTTTTAATACAAATGCTATTGATATTTCTAAAAAATGAACAGTAAACATCAAAAAGAAATTAAGAGCCACAGGCCTGTATTTTAAATCTATTCTTTTTTTTTGTTTAGGGTCTTTTTTTAAACAATAATAGGGCCCTATAAAATTTTTTCTTCATTTTTCTGGTGATCAGATGAAGGCATAAAACATTCATTTATCCTAATCAAATTAACATTAAACCCTTTTATTTTTTGGCAAAGAAAGTGTCGCACAACAGAGGTTTACGGTTGTTACATTGTTGTTACGTTGAGTCTTAAGACTGCTAAATAGTAATATATTTCTGACACAGTTTCTTCATGTTAAACCAAAATTTTATTTTGACAAGTTGCCGTGAAGAACTCGCAGCTGCTGTGTATGTGAAATTTTCTAAAATTAAACAGTAAAATGCTAATGTAGGGTGACCATATGTCCTCTTTTTCCCAGACAAGTCCTCTTTTTATTGTTCTTGTGGTTGTATTTATTTTTTTTGTTATGGTTGTATCTTTCTTTTAGTGCTTCTGGATCTTAGCACTGCATTCGACACTATCAACCACAACTTTCTTTTGAATAGACTAGAAAACTTTGTTGGCATTAGTGGAAGTGCATTAGCATGGTTCTAATCATACTTATCTGACCGCCATCAATTCGTAGCAGTGAATGAAGAGGTATCATATCGATCACAAGTGCAGTATGGAGTACCTCAAGGCTCAGTACTGAAGCCGTTACTTTTCACGCTTTACATGTTACCCTTGGGAGATATCATCCGGAAACACACTGTTATGCTGATGATACTCATCTCTATATTTCTTCGCGACCCGGCGAAACATACCAAGTTGAACGGAATGCATAGTCGATATAAAAAACTGGATGGTGAGTAATTTCTTACTACTAAATTCTGAAAAAACAGGTGTTAATTATCGGACCTAAAACCTCCTCATGTAATAACCTAGAACACTGTCTAACACTTCATGGCTGCTCTGTCAATTCCTCGTCATCAGTTAGGAACCTAGGTGTGCTATTTGATAGCAATCTTTCCTTTGAAAGCCACGTTTCTAGCATTTGTAAAACTGCATTTTTCCATCTCAAAAATATATCTAAATTACGACCTATGCTCTCAATGTCAAATGCAGAAATGTTAATTCATGCGTTCATGCCCTCAAAGTTAGATTATTGTAATGATTTATTGGGTGGTTGTTCTGCATGCTTAATAAACAAACTCCATCTCTATCTGTCTATCACTATGCGGGGTATTTAAATCACTTTGAATGCAGCTCGCATTGGATGCAGGGTTGCCAAATCCTAATATTTTGCACGGAATTGGGCTGATTTTAAACTGTTGTGGCGGGTTGATTTTCTCCCGTGGGTTAAAGTTTTGAAATATTGCATGAAGTACATTTGACTGAAATGCTTGTATTGAAACATTTTGCATTCTACCTATGATAAAACTGTGGTAGATGTTAAGTTTTGAGAAGGATGACCACTGGTAGAAAGCCTTTTAGCTGTGTTTATGACCATCTGCATAATGGTGACTGTAAAATATGTATTTTAGGTATGGAAATAACATATTTTGAGTTTTGATATTTGGGATATGGGCACTGCACTACTTTGGTTGCTAAAAATCTTTGTCATTATTTTATCTTTGTTATTAAAAAATAAGAACAAATATACACATTACAAATACACATAATATACAAATAAAACAAACAGTAGGTGTATTTAGCAGAAACATTTAAGAAATTGCTATATAGATTGATTCCTATTAAATCAACTGTATTAAAGTTTTTCAGTCAAGAGCAGCGAGTGATTTTTCTCTTTGTGTTTTATTGTTTTATTAACATTAAATGAATAGTTCACACAAAAATAAAAATTCTGTCATAGTGTTTTATTTTTATATCATTATTTACTCACTCAAAAGTTGTTTTAAACCTGAATAAGTTTCTTTCTTCTGCTGAACATAAATGCTATTTTGAAGAACATGGAAAACCAAACAGTTGCTAGTCCCCATTGGCTTTTTTTCTACTATCAAATTCAATGTGGGCCAGCAACTGTTTGGTTACCCACATTCTTCAAAATATCTTCTTCTGTGTTCAGCACAAGAAAGAAATTAATACAGGTTTGGGACAACATGTGAGTGAGTAAATAATGACAGAAATTAAATTTTAGGGTGAACTATCCCTTTAATGACAGTCGGTTGCATGTTCAGTACTGTCCCTTTAAGAGCTGCACGCATCTAATATACAGACACGCATCCGTTCTTCTCTCAACTGCTTACTTTCATTTTAGACATAACCAACTGAGTCTATATGCAAACCTTGTGTGTTTTGACTGAGATAACTTGGATAACTGAGATAAAGATAACTTAGTTCAGTAATCAGGCGCTGTTTAACAGGCTTTTTAGTGTACGCGTTCAGAAAAGGCACACATCAGAACAGCACGCAAATTAAAAGTTTAACCGGTAAGGCTTTAAAGCACATGCAAATAATGCACTTTTCTGATTGCAAATAAGTGCAGTGTCCCGTGAGAGTAACTCTACCACAGAGGAGGCACCAGAACTGTAACTGATAGACTACGAATATTTCATCAAAAGCAGATCGTGGAGACATTTTTACCATCCACAATCATAAATCATCATTTCGCACTATGAAAGTCAATGCTACCGTCACCAACATTCTTCAAAATATCTTGGTCTGTGTTCGACATAAGAAAGAAACTCATACAGGTTTGGAACAACATGCAGGAGACTAAATTATGACTGAATAATCAGTGAACTGTGGCTTTAAGAGTGTTTTATCACATCGCTGCGTGAATGCTGAGCTGCTGTGACTCACCCTTTGACCTCGGTCTCGTTCTCGTCATCGACCCAGGTCAGGATCTGCGTGGCGAGGATGGAGGACACATCCAGCTCCTGGATGTCGTGGGTGGAGGCGATCACTAAACAGTTGCGATTGGCCTGGAAGACAGAGAGAGGCTGTTGTTTAGGCTTCAGATCAGACAAAGATACACTGCAGCATGTCACGTCACAGCACCTTATTGATGGCGAACGCCGTGATGATGTCCGACTCCTTGTGGATGATGCGAGCTTTTCCTCCAGGAAATCCCAGACTGGCCTCGATCTGCAGGAGGAAGGAGAGCGCAGCAACATCACTAACACTTGTCTCAGATGGGACAGTGATGTGAATGCAACGGGCTAATTTATCCTGTCTAGGGATGCAACGATGCACGAGTATGGGCCAGTTTTACTAACGGCTTGCGCTAGGGCAAACCGTCTTTTGGCGTTAAAATATTACTAAAGATGCGCACTGATAAATTAGCGCTGAAAGAGAGAGACCCCCCCACATGATTGTAAAGCGCTTTGGGTGTACAACAATACACAGTAAAGCGCTATATAAATGCATCATTCATTCATTCATTCATTCATTAAATATGCATTTGTAGGAGTTTCCCTTTCAGACACAAAATTTATGGGAGGAGAGAATTCAAATTAATCACGCAATGAGATTTACTAATGTTTGCGCACGTCAAATTACGGGTATTTGCGCCATTATTTAACGCCCAAAAAAGCATGTCTTAAACTATTTTGTGCTTGAAATGGCTGTGATTATTGTTGCTACGAGAGTCACCGCAGAGAACAGAGAGGATTTTTTCCACACATATTAATTTATTTGGAATGCCAGAAGAACACATTATCCGAACATATTGTTTGCCAAGACGTGTTATTTTTAATTTGCTTCAGGAAATAAAAGACGAATTGGAACCCTCAACCAGCTCTATCAAAACTTCTAGCAAACCTTCATTTTTCAGTTCCGTGTTCTTAACATAGTTTTTCTCAGTTTTAAACGTACTGTGGCTACTTTATTGCTTTATTCTTTAGGTGCGACTATGCTAATTTACGCTGCGCTTGGTATATTGCGTTGGTCGATATGCAAATGAGATGTTGCGTCTGTGGTTTTTAATTTGTGCGTTGTTAGTAAATCACCCGCAGAAATTTACCCTCCCATCGGCGCTGTTTTGGAATTGCGCTCTCGCGCTAATTTGCCCTGTTTAGTAAAACTGGCCCTAAATCGCAGATAAAAATATGTGACTATTCAAGTCAGTTGAGATGTTAAACAAATCGCGATACAGTTGGAGGTGGGGTTTTATATGTACATCCAGCCGGTTGTTATCGCAGAAAGAATGTTGTATAAGACTGAAGGGCTTTATTTTGCGATAACAACCAGCTGGATGTACATTATCCTGCTTATTATATGGCTACTTAACTAAATAATTAGACACAAAAATTTGAGTTGAAATTAGGGTTGTCAAATAAAAATTTTAATTTAAAAAATTTGTAGAATTTAAAAAAAATTCAACTTGCGAATGCAAAAACGCTGCATTTAAATTTTAGGTGTGCGTTATTAGTGGCACACAAGATGCGATGATGATGTAAGTGTCGTTGCATTTTAATGAATGTGAATGAAACAGGCTCATTTATCCTGACTAGGGATGCAATGATGCACGATTAAATTGCCGATAAAAATATGTGATTATTCAAGTTGGCTGAGATGTTCAACGAATCGCGATACAGTTCAGTGTCTC